TGAACTTTTCACTTGGCAAACTGCCATTAGCTTTATATTTTGGCATTGTACCGTAGAATCAATAACAAATAATTTAAAAGAAAGTTAAAAATAGTTAATTATGGGATTTAATGTTGAAAAATAAAAAGTGTGCTAGAGTATAAGATAAATATACTGTATCTACTTCACTTCACTGAGTACCAGCCAGAAGTCCCCTCACAGGGACAGTTTGGACCTTGCATGTAAAGTAAATCTGAGGTTACTCACCTAAGGGTTTTTGTTTTCTTTGCCACGGGTAGCAATCTCCGTACACACGCCTGTGATGTAGCATATTCACTCATGTCAAAGACATCAATCTCTTTCTCAGACAGCAGTGAGAAATAGGCGAGTGCTGAACACTGGGAAGGTGAGAGGCTTTGTCCTGAATGTTTTCCTTTATCCAGAGTCACATTGAACTCATCCATTAAAGACTTGTCCTTCAGTTCACTCAGACAGTGGAAAAGGTTAAAGCATCTTTCAGGAGAGGAAGTTTTTCTAATGAGTTTTTTGATGTGTTCTGTTGTTTCCAGTATGTCACTGGAGTGATCTTGTGTGTGTGACAGGAATCCCTTTAGAAGCTCCTGGTTGTTCTTCATTCCCGTTCCCAAGAGGAACCGGACAAACAGGTCAAGGTGACCAGTCTTGCTCTGGATGGCTCTTCTAAGTGCAACTTCATTCAAGTGGAACAGTGTGGAAGCTGGTGGGTTTCCTTTCTTCAGTGGGTTAATATTTTTGTTCTGATGGGAACCTAAAACATACAGAGCTGCAAAATACTCCTGGACAGTCAGGTGTAAAAAGCAGTACACCTTTTCCTGAAACAAGACTGAATCTTGTTTAAATATTTCCTTCCACACCCCTGAGTAAAGGGAGGAGTTGTGGAGATCAATGCCATATTTTTTCAAATCTTTTTCATAGAACACTATGATGTTTTTCTTCAGACTTTCAAATGCCAGCTTTCCCAGCTTCAGAATTGCTTCTTGATTTATTTTGAGGACAGTTTCTTTCTTTTCCTTTTGTTCCTTTGCTGTCAGTAAGACAAGCAGAAAGTACGTATAGAAATCTGTCAGTGTTGTTGGATTTGCCCCACTGTTCTCTTCCAAAGTGTGCTCCAGAACAGTAACTACAATCCAGCAGAAAACAGGAACATAGCACAAAATGTAAAGACTCCTCAGTGCCTTTATGTGTGAAATAATTCTGTCTGCTAGAGCTCTGTTCTTACACTTCTTTCTGATGTACTCTTCCTTCTGCTGGTCTTCAAACCCCTGGACCTCTGTCACCCTGCTGATGAGCTCTGGAGGGATCAGACCTGTTGCAGCTGGTCTGGAAGTGATCCAGATGGAAGCATTAACAGGAAAGTTCCTCTTGATGAGGTTTGTTAACAACACGTCCACTGAAGCTTGCTTTTTCACATCAGACCACCTCTGGTTTGTTTTAAAGTTCAAAGGATGTTTGCTTTCATCCAGACCATCAAAGATGAACAGGACTTTGTGGCTATCTAAAACATTATCAGAGGATTTTATCTCTGGACAGAAACACAGACCCAGTTCCTGTAAACTCATTTCTGATTTGATCAAGTTTAATTCACGGAATGGAAGAAAAAATATAAAATCGAAGTCCTGGTTGTCTTTTCCAGTAGTCCAGTCGAGAATGAATTTCTGCACAGAGAATGTTTTCCCGATGCCAGCAACTCCCTTCATCATTACAGTCCTGATTGGAATGGTCTGTCCTGGCAGTGGCTTAAAAATATCGCTGCACTTGATGGAGTGGATCTCTGATTTTGTGCTTTTGGAGACAGTTTCTACCTGCATGACCTCACGTCCATGATTCACCTCAACACAGCTGCCCTCAGTTATCCACACGTGTGTAAAGATGTCATCAAGGAGGGTCTGCTCTCCCGGCTTAGCAATTCCCTCAGACACAACTTCAAACTGCGTCTTTAGAGCTTCCTTGTGTTTGTCTTTCAGTGTCTGCAGCCACCCTAAAACAGAAAGAACACGATAGTAAAGACACAGTCTGAGGCTGCAGGAGAAATCGTGACAGTGTGATGTGATGACAGATCTCTTACAGGGACACCAGCTATTGAGGTTTACAAGTGTGAGACACAATCAGAACAGATGGACACAGATAAAGTCAAGAGTCACAGACACAGTCCATTAGTTGTCCTAGCTGGAGCTCCGGCAGTGACTCCTCATTTTTAATCACCCTCTGATAGTCATGTCCTGGTCTCTCACAGCCTCACAGACACACCCTCTCATGAAGACAATTTCCTCATGGGAGTTATTTTCATTCCTTAGAATGACGACTGATTCTGCTCTATCCTGGGTATCAGAAAGCCAAGCTGTAGTTCAAGATGCTAACTGACCATTGTGGCAAAAGCCAAATGTGTCATAATATTTACTGCAATTTACTATTCCTTAAAATATTTAAAATATCGATCCACTGTATTAACGTGACTGTTGAATTTACTGGAACAATTAGAAATTGAATTAGTAAAGCAATATTCACACATGGATTAAAATTACACAATAAGTAATTTATTGAAACAACAGCAAAATGTGCACTGCAAACCAACAGGAATATATATACAATGTCTATAGAGCTCCCTTTCAAAATTGTCACCCTTAGTTGCCTTAGAGTAAAGACCAAACACCCTACCCCTCAATATCCAAGTGAATAATATTCTACAACTTTTTTAGCAAATTAATAGTAGATCTAGAATCTGAAATAGCTTGGTTGGATAAGAGCCCACCTCTTGTAGCAGCGATTCTAAATTAGCTCATGTGTACCCAATCACCTTCAGAATCAGATCTATTTGATTAACAAATTTATTAACAAATAAAGTAACAAAACAGTAACATATACTGTAGGAGAAATATAATGAACTGTAATGAAATTCAAGAAACAAGGGCTATCTGAGTGAACAAAGTAAACCCTTGGTTTAACAGACTAATAGGAGAAAGGCGACCATTTTTGTTACTTTCCGTTAAATCACAATGGTTTTTTTTCCCAACACAAAATCATATATAGATTATACTTCATGTATTTGTTTTCCCTATCTTTTAACTTATTTTTAAGAATTGCAATCAACCTTATGACATCTTTTCTTGTTTTTTTATCCTAAATATACAGTACAAGCTCTGTATTTCACACGTCTTAAGTACACTGATTCACTGAAGTATATGAAACAAACACTAATAATAAGCAATTGACCTGCCAGTATAGTGCACAATTGATATTCCAAACTTTTATTTTTAAACCTATGTAGTATCTTTACCTTGTTTTAATATTTTTACATTACATTTTTGTGCATCTTTTTTCTTTTCAAATAATATGTAAAAATACAGGACTGCACTACTCTGTAAAACTGCCAGGAGGCACAGTGAATCTTTAATGAATCATTGTGTCTAACATTAGGTTGATTATATTTTAATAATAAAAAATAATGTTCACCCATTAGTACTTTCCTAAGCTAATCATACAGTACAGTGACACTAATATAATTTTTTGCTGCTTTCATCAAATAGTGTACAAAAGCATTAGCACATTAGTGTTTATTTTACTGATTGTAGACTATATTATATGTTGTTATGTTACATGTTGGGAGTGTACAGTATTACAACACAGGTTAAGTCTTAGCACTTTCACATTGAAAAAATAAGTAGCTGCTATGTTGATGGTTATATAATACATCTAATAAGCATTCTAATTATTCTTGGCTTAATTTGTTATGTATTTTGTGTAACTATGCAGCAGTGGAAGGAGCCGCGGTGAATGAGTGAGTCGGCGCCCCGTCTGTGAGGTTGGTGAGAAAATGCGCCGTTATGTGAAGCAGCGCAGCGCCGTCGTGTAGAGTGGCGCCCAGGCTGGACTTGCCCTGTCTAACCGGGGTCTAGCCTGGAAAAAGACCCCGCTTGGCGGCGGGGACCAGACTGGATTTACCCTGTTTAACAGGGTCCAGTCTGGGAGAACAGGAAGGGAGAGCAAGGCCAAAAATAAAAATTTAAATTGTGGAAAAATTATATGTCTGCCCCAGTATAGAGACAGAACGGGACAGGCTAAATGAAAAAGAAACAGCCTCACACTCGATTACAATCACTTCTGGGACTGCCGGTGCACACCCTGCTTATCCTTTTCGGGGAGGTGCTCAGTGTGCCTCAGTGTGCCATCTTTCATCAGTGCAGCTGTGATTACAAAGGAGACTTTTTCCTTTTGTACTTTTTCCACACTGAACACACCCCTCGTGTGTAGTGCCACAATTGTTAACTCACATTGTAAGGTTATTACAATGTCTATACTATAATCTTTAATCTATACTATATTATCTAAGGTGGTGCTCTGGTGTCATGAGGAAAAAAAATCATATGTACTGTAGGATTTTGCATACCACTCTTGTGTAGGACAGGCTTCATCATGGCTTTATAAGTAGCATGAGCCTTTGCTGTTGGAGGAAGAAAAAGATGGGTAGAAATTCAAATGGGGAACCAGTTGCAACAACAAAGTGGAGCATCTGGACCCCAGTGTGCACTGAACTCAATTTAATGAGGGTTTCTAAAGGTAAGAAGACTAAAGGGAAAGTACTAGAGCAAGATCTGGTTCAAGAAGCCCAGCTGAAGCAGCAGTGGAGTTTACATGATCAAGGTCTCAGAGCTCCACATGAACATATGTGCTCCAGCAGCTGGGACCAGTTAACTGAGGTTCAGCAGCTGTCAGAGTGGGGCTTTTGCAGGAGCAGCAGCTAGTTTATCTTAAAGTAGCAGAGTATAATGACCTGCAACAAGCACAGGTAAAAAAGATATTAGAAAGACCAACAGAGGATATGTGAAAAAAGAAATGGATATTGTACTGGAGGTTACAATAAAGTTTTTTTTCAGCACTACCACAACAAGGAAACAGTAATGAAGTAAAATTGAAATCTTGGACCTTGAAGAGGCTACTTATTAAAACTGTTTAGTTTTTTTAGCTCTGTAACAGGGCACCTGGATCTGGAGTATCCTTAGTATATATTAGGAAACCAGAGGGAGATGTATATATACTCTAAATACCCGGGGAGAATGAGTGTTCAATCAGCAGGAGGATATTAGGGGACTGGTGTCACCTGTGTGAAGCCAGGTTTAACTATGTGAGTATTCAGGGAGTGAACGGTCCTTGTCGGCTCAGGAGAGTCAGACCCTGAGCTGGTACAGTGTTTCTGTGTCAACCTGCCAGTAAAAAACAAGACAGAGTGGGCAAACCAGCCAAAATGGCAGAGTTGAGGCCTCATTTCACTACTTTTTTCATAAAGTACAAGAAAGCCATACAGTTAAAATTATTAGAGTTAAAATGGTTAAATACAATGATATAGGTCAACATGCAACGCAAAAGATCCAGTCAAGTCAAGTCAGGAGTTAATTTGAGCAATTCCCTAACATTCGGCTACCATCAAAGGGGAATCTGTCACAGACTCCTTAGGTTTTAAATGCAATTTTAAGTGATTTTAAATTGACCATTTTTTCCCTTCAGCGCAGTGTTCAGCAGGTGACAATTTAAAGAGTCAAAACATACTGCACTGGGAGACCCTGAAAGAAATGGACTGTTTTAGTCCTGAAAAAAGCAGACTAAGAGTGGACCTGATACAGGTACATCCTTTTCCTTTGTTACATAAGGCTCAACGTTATCCTCTCCACATCATCTTCAGCTTTTTTGTTGAATATCCTGTAATGTAGTTATATCAGGGAAACACCTTAGTGATTTGATTTTATTAATTACTGTTTATTTTCTGTTTCATTACTGAACTGTACAATGTAGAGTAATGAAATGTATAAATGTAGTATGAAATGTAGTATATTGCTACAGCTGTTTGAAGGAGCTGGTTTGAGATGTCTAAGAATTTAGAGACAGTGGTTAACATCTATCTAATGAAAACATTCATGCAGATCTCATATGCTTTGAAGAAACTGAGGTGCTTTCCGAGTTGTAGTGGTACTGACACCAGTGGTGTGACATGCTTGTCCAGATCACTGTCACCCGTAAAGATCAGATTCGAGTTATTTAAACCTTATTCAGAGAGTTTGCCATTCTGTTGTTTTTAGGAAACTCTGATTTCCTATATAGAGAATCCCTTGGTTAAAAGCAGTCTCGCCTGGTCAGAAGATATATTTTTAGAATAGGGAGACAGGTTCCATTCACAGATTCCCATTCCCTCAAGAAGGCAGCAGCTACTCAGCTACAGTTTCACATAAGTTCTCACTAACTCACTGGTACTGACCAGAGCAAGGAAATCAGATCATATCATCCTTGTTCTAGCAAAGCATCATCTCAGACAAGCAATTTCCATTGAAAGCTTTAAAATAGATC